TATTTTTATTATAATCAAAGATTAACTAACTTGGATGCGTCAAGATTTGCATTTGAGAAATATAAATATACATACATATACATATATAAGTATAAATATATACCTATATATATTCATATAAAGAATGCCTTTTCTTATTTCTTATCGCCGTAACCAACAATGAAAATAGAATCAGACTAAAGAAAGCTCACAACAAACCGAAACACATCAAACACTGCTCATTATGCATGCTCATTATCATTAGCATTATCATTATCATGATCATTAACAGTAAACTTATTAGCCAAAAGAAAATGTACTAATAATCGCATTTCCCTATGAAAGCAAAAATGTTTGCCATATTTTAGATATTACAATTAAACAAAAAAAGAGAAAAAACTAAAAGCAGTGTTGATAAACAGTGAAAGATGCGCACAGCTTTAGGCAGTTGGCCAAAGTTTTCATTGCTGTGCAGCAAATACAATCACGCCGATCACAAAGACGTCGCCACTTAAGCGATATTAAGATAACAAAAACAACTGCAACTCAAAGCCAAATCAGTGTTAAGAATACAGTGTTGAACAATGTCTTCGGATACCAACTCGTGCGCCGGCTTCTTTGTTCAGGAGCACGCAAATGCGACGCTCTCGCAATACTTTCAGCAGCTCAACTCGCAGGTGGCTGCAGTTGTAGCCGGCAACAGCAGCAGCGGCAGCAGCAATAAGGGTGCCAACAGCAACAACAACAACAGTAGCAGCAGCAGCAGCACCGGCAGCAACAACAACAACAACACCAACAACGGCAGCGGCAGCAGCAGCGGCGGCAACAGCGACAGCGGAAACGATGGCAGTCTGTCCGGTGCGACGGCAGCAGCAATGGACAACCATCGCAGCAGCGTCAGCAGCAATGATTCCGGCAAGAGCAGCAACAGCAACAGCTCTTCAACAACAGCAGCAGCAGCTGCAGCCGCCGCAGCAGCAGCAGCGAATGCCTGGAACTTGCAGCAGCAGCAAACAGCAGTGTTGCATCATCATCATCATCAGCAACAGCAGCAGCAGCAGCAGCAACAACAACAGCAGCAGCAACAGCAACAGCAGCAGCTGCAGCAACATCATGTACAGCAGCAACATGCTGCTGCTGTGGCTGCAGCTCAACAGCAATTGCAGCAGCAGCAACACTCACATCACGCGCAGCAGCAGCATGCACACCAGCAACATCAGCAGCAACAGCAGCAGCAGCATCAACTGCAGCATCAGCAGCAACATTCTCAGCAACATCATCCACATGCACACAATCCACACTTGCATCCACATCATCCGCACCAGCAACAGCTACACCAGCAACATCAGCATCAGCAACAGCAGCAGCAGCAACAACAACAGCAACAACAGCAGCAGCACCAACATCATGCTGCCCAGCTGGCACACACACTCTCCTCCGCAGCAGCTGTTGCCGCTGCAGCATCCAACACCAACACCCACTCAATCTTTGGCACCGGCAATTTCCACTACAAAACCAACAATTCGTGGACGTTGCCAACGCTCAGCTATCAGCGCATCTATCAGGAGAACTCGCATTATCATCAGCGCAGCAACAGCTTTATGGAGGCCCAAAGCTCGACGAACGAGGCAGCGGCGGCGGCAGCAGCAGCTGCTGCGGCCACGGCTGCTGCAACGGCGGCTGCTGCTGCTGCGGCGGCAACAGCAACAGGCAATGGCAACAACAGCAGCAACAACTCAGCTGATAACCACAGCACCAGCAACAACAACAACAACACCAGCAGCAACACCAACACCAGCAGCAACAGCGGCAACAACAACAACAACAACAACAGCAATGCCTCAGCAGTGCAACACGTGGCAAGTGCTGTGGCAGCTGCAGTCATTGCCAACGAGCATCAAAACCATTTGAACAGCTTGAAGGCTCGCTTTCAGCCATCCAGCTCAGGTGGGTCCTCGCAGCCAGAGCAGCAAATACTAGAAATACTACCATAAATATAGTATTTAAGTAAATTTGTTGTTAACAAATGCAAAATACAAAATATTTATTCAGCTGTAGCCAAGTTCGCGCAGACTTGAATATTGTTTAATAATGGGTTTTTCCATTACAAAGCTTATTAGATTGCAAATAGAGCAAATGCTGTTAACAGAAATGTTAAAGTGCAGCTCAGATGTGTCTATTAACATTGATCGACAGCTGTAAAGAGAGCAAAGCTGTTAACAGAGCAAAGGGAAATTATCCGTAGCTGTTAAGTTAGTGCAGTGTTAAGTAGGTTTTAGCAGCTGTTAGCTTTAGCAGATAAATTTTTCCTAACAGTTGCTTCTGCACACTCACTGGTAAGGCTTGCTAGTAAGGCTTGCTATTAGTAAGCTGTTAACCTGGTGTATTCTCAAGATATAAAGTATACAGTTCACATTTCCAGTCAACTCTTCTTCTTTGCTGTGGTGTTTTGGTTATATAGATTCATGCATTAAGAAACTGTTTTCATTGCAAATTAAAATTCAGTAAAGCTACGTTTTATGGTCATAGGAACAAATTGAAATTCTTAATTCGATCGTACTTAAAAAGCAATAATAACATAAACATAAACTCGCAGAAAAAAGAATATTAAAAATATTTTGATTATGTTATTATTTTGTTTTCAATTTATTGTTTTCTCAGTTTTTTTTTATTTTCATAGAATTAATTCTTTCTTAGGCGAGTTGCTTGTTTTAATATTTTCTTTATATTCTTTTACATTATGCAATTATGTTAAGAGCTGCTTAACATTAAATGTTATTCGCATAATGTAAGCGATAATGAAATATATTTAACTGAGCTGCCAGCTTTAAATTCGTCATATATATTGCAAGAAAAAGTATAGACTATTCAGCATTATCTCGTTCTAAATGGAATTACACAAATGTTGTCATACTTAAATATATATCTATTCATATATATATATA